GGTTACACAACTGGCCAAACTTGAACCAGCAGCAAAATTGGCCACCGGGACTTGATGCGCGGTGAACATTGTTCGCCTCTATCATGAGCAGGAAAGTGGAAATTACGCATCCTTGTGACCACATGGATTATGCATCCAGCTGCAGCCGATGACTGTTGCTGCAGCACAAAAAGTGCACGGCCATGGCTGTGGGCGGCCGTCCATCGGCTGCGAGCGGGGTGCTGTGGCCTGTGGGGTTGGCCTGGAGGCAGATCTGGAGCAGAGGAAGCGAGCACGCCACGTGACGACGGCGGCAGGTGAACAACCAGCCATGGAGCAGGGCAGCAGGCGTACCGCGTAGAGCTGCACGCTGTCTGCATCCGCGAGCGAGCGACAGCAACGATTGGCCGTTCCGCGCTCCGATCTCGTCGGTGATCCGACAACGGAGAGCTCCGCCGGTCGCCGGAAGGTACAACCCTGCACGTGTTTGGCTGTTGATTAACTTTTTTAATAGACTAGGGTCTTATTTAGTTGACAAAATTTTTTAGGAAATAGTATTATAGCACTTTCGTTGTTATTTATCAATTAATGTCTAATCATGGTCTAATTAGACTTAAAAGATTCGTCTCGTAAATTTCGTCTAAACTATGTAATTAGTTTTATTTTTTATTTATATTTAATGCTTCATGCATGCATCCAAAGATTCGATGCTGAAGATAGCTATATTTAAATATTCAATTAAAAAAATTGTTGAAGAACATTTTAAAAAAAAAATCTCTATTCATAACCGTTAGGAAGATATAACGAGTCTCTTGGAATTGGTCTACCAATCGTTTGCAGTTGTAGGTCTACTCTCTCTGTTCCTAAATATTTGTCGTCACGATTTGCGTGCTAATAACTTTGATTCGATTTATAGAAAATGCGTGCAACATTTCTATCTTCAAATAAATTTATTAAAAAACTAGATTCAAATATCTATCAATAATACCAATTATGTATCATAAATATTAATATTTTTAATATATATTTAGTCAAAGTTGTTTCTCGGAAAGCAAAAACAACAGATATTTAGGTACTGAGGGAGTATGTCCATTCACTATATTTTTTTTCTTCCAAGAAAACCCACTCATAAGTCATAATGCTCTCTGTCGATGGGACCATGGGGGCATGGAACATTCATCTTGACCCACTTTTTTTCTTATGGAAACACGTACTCACCTCGTCCACAAAACAATATAATTCTCATTTTTCGAGAAATCAAGTTATTTGAACTTTGACTAAATTTATGTAAAAAATCTAACATTAATAATATAAACTAAATATCATTAGATTAGTTATAGAACATACTTTTATAATAAATTTATTAGAACACATAAATGCTAATACTATTTGCTATAAGCTTAGTTAAATTTGAGCTAGATTGATCGGCGTGGATCCCATAATTACATTGTTTTGTGGACAGAAGAGGTAGTACTAGGATTTTCATTCAATCATCTTGTGGTGATACGGAAAATAAATCATTTATTTCTAGGCTTTGGTGGGTGAGACCATCAATAAACATGTACTGTATATTGATTATTGAAACAAATGCTCATACTGTACTACATTAAAAGAATGAACAAAAATGACCTGGAGACTGGAGGAACAGGACTTGAAATCATGGCCGGGGCTTTTTAAGGAGGCCTTTTTATAGGTCCCCGTCCGACAGCTGCATAACCTCATAATTCTCTCCAAGTCTCTAGTCTCATTGAGTACGGAGTCATTTCCCTCTTTATTTTGAAAATGCAAACACGATTTAGTATCACGCTTGCATCGTGTGCGTCGACAATATTCTTTTTGGAGGAAAAATTAGCATGTTCGTTTGGTCGTGTTTGGCTTATAAACCATAGCTGAAAATACTGTTGGCTGATTTTATGTGAGAAAAAAATATTGTTCGTTAGTTGAAAACAAGCCAAAATAAGCCAAACAAACCCAAATGAATAGGGCGAATATCTATTGGCTTCTGCCAAATCTTTAGGGGCAAAAATACACCCCCACAGTTTTTTTTTATGATGAAGTTAGCACAATTTTGAGCTAGCCAACGACGCAGTGGAGGTAGTATAGTATGTACCTTACCATGCTCAGCTGACATGGATTAGAGAATGAAACCAGGCTGATATTCTTCAGGGAATGACTCATCTGTTGAAGAACACTTTTACTGACTTCAACGACGACTCATGTGCCTACTATGATAAATTTGCTTTTCTCCCAACTTGATTAAGAGTCAACCAAGGCAATTAACAAGGCAGCAAAAAAATCAAATACTACTAGTCAACTTGTTGAGAATGTATCACGACACAAATTTGGTTTAATTTTTCTCCAACTATGTAAATTGGTACGAGCTATCAGTATAGAATACGTCATTTTCCCCTCCTTGTACAGGTGTTCTATGTTTGAGTTTTGTGAGATGACAATCGACATCGTGCGGTGTTATTAGGTAAAACAGAACCAGAATTTTCATGATTATTTTCGTTAACAGTACTCCTTCCGTACAAAGTTATTATAAGTAGTTTTGAGTTTTATATGTACATAGCATTTTGCTACGTATGTAGACATAGTGTAGTGTTAGGGTATATAATAAAAACTATGTAGCTAGATGGACTTATAATTTATAAATATCTGAAAGTACCGAGCAACGCTCTAATATCTGCTTCGTTGGCTGCTGCACGATGCATGCTATTATTAGAAATCATGCTTGCTGTTTCTCACAAAAAAGGACATGAGCTGGCTTCATGCCTCCATGGAGAATTATGAGCTGGAGCTACGTGGACCTACAGCTGCAAAGCAATCGAGCGATTGTACTAGCATGGGGCCACCACTCAGTGGAACCAACAGGCCACCAGTCAGCCTTTTTGGCCTCTGCTTCTCTCACATCAATTACGGCTGACAACAAAGGATTCAAGTTCAGACTGCATTTCCTTTTCCGTCCTGCTCCCGTGCTCCTCCGTAGCAGTGGTCGGTGGCCGGTGGGGACGTGCCCACGGGCTACGGCATCTCGTGGCCCCACCGACGTGTCGTGCGCACGAGCCCGTGAGTAGGACTGACGAAGCAGAAGCGAAGCCAGCCCCCCGCAGACAAAAGTCAGGACTGGTGGGTGCGGCCGGGTGTTTGGTTCCGACTCTAAATATTAGTCGTTATTTCATCGAAACTTTGACATACATAATATATATATATATATATAATATTAAATATAGATTATTTATGAAACTAAATGTACAGTTTGAGACTATTTTATGAGATGAATTTTTCTAAGTATAATTAGTCCATGATTTGATAACGTGGTGTTACGGTAAACATATGCTAATGATGAATTAATTAGGCTTAATAAATTCATCTCGTGGATTACGGACGGATTCTGTTTTTGTTAGTATCCGAATACCCCATACAACACTCTGTGTGAGACCTCAAAAACTTTAGTCCATCGATCCAAAAGCGGCCACGTGCATGTGCACTGAGGTACACGTCGCGGCGGATGCAAGTGGAATGAGCCGGCCACCGATCTTTGACCTGACCGTCTGGTTTAAGCATATGCATGTTCCCTTCTCGTTCGCTTCTGGGCGAGTGAAGCGAAAAGTCAAACAACCCAAGGAAAACGTAGGTGGGACGACACGGTGGATGCATGCGATTGCGATGTGAGGCGCCAAAAGTGGCAGCTGGCAAGAGTTTGTGCTCATGCCGTCATGCGCCACACCTTGGATCGGATTGCATGCAGTGTCTTATTAGCAATGCAAGATTTTTAATCCCTGCTAGAATCTTCTGCCTTCTGGTGGCTGTGTCATATACCATGTTCGTTGGGTTTATAAGTCGTATTTTTTTAGCCAATGAATAATATTTTTCTCTCCCAATAAATCAGTCAACAGTACTTTCAGCCATGGCTTATCAGTCAAGCGAACAGGACAATTGTTAATGTACTAGTACACACTAGGAAGTCTTTTTTTTCTTCTTCTTCGTGTTACTATTTCTTTTTGGTTATAATATATAGCCCGTTCGTTTCGGCTGAAACGATCGTGGATTATTACTACGGGCTGGTTTGGTGTGAGAGAAAAATACGGTTCTGGCTTATAATCCACGATCGTTTACGATCAAGCGAACAGGCTAATAGTCATTAGGGTTAACTGTCAAAAGAGATCCAAACTACGAATATACTGTTCATGGTAACTGCAAAGATTTCACGTTAATTTCAGCATATACAAATTTTGGATACATACTATTGCTCATCATGACCAAATATACGGATTATTTTGTTTACATTCAAAGTGGGTCGACATTTTTTGTTTCGCCATAGCCTCAGATATACGAGGCCCCAAAGTAACAGCATCTGCAAAATTCAGTTCTTTTTTTACAACTCCAAGCATTCGCATTGTGTGTGACTGGCTACTAATGAAACCGCACACCAACGAAGATCAGAGATGATGATTTCATTAATTTTCACCAAGGTAGTTTTCTTGATTCCTTTTTGGTGGGTTTTCCCCAAAATTTTCTGAACCATAAATCGATTCCTTATTTTGAAAAATATTCAAAATTTGGAGAAGAATCAGCTACTATAGACTCTAGTCACTGCTAGCGTCTGCACCTTTTTGGAGCATGGCGCAATACTTTACTTTTTTGGTAAACACTAAACACAGTATAAATAAATGTAAATATTCATTCATATATATGCAAGCACACTCATTGATGGTGACAATGATACGTGTGATCAGTTCGTACATTTGCATACTACATTTTTTTAAAGCACCTCCTGGTGCGCCCTTCACAGGAGGTCAGATGCTCCCTTGGAGCCTTCACCACTGGACCGCATGCCCATCCGCTACAATTATTTTCTTTACATCATGTTTGCTACCAAACCGCTGAAAATTCGCAGGAATTGAGATCATCATCAGACTGAGGTCGGAGGAACGTAGAGACTGCGTCTACACAATCCGTGATTGCAATCTGATCATCAGTAGTTACCCCGATGGACTGAATGAGCTGCTCATTGTAATTCACTCACTGTTCAGCTGCTCTATCATGCTGTCAATCGGCAGCGAACCCAATGGCACAGATGACTCCAGACGCTCAAACATGTCAAGCTCAAAATGTTCATCGTCACATAGATGAGGTGACGACTGCTCGAGCTGGCCCTCTTCGTTTCCAGCAATGCTTGTTTCAGACTCATCATTTATGTATTCTGCACTTAGAGATTCGGTGTTCACCTCACTATTGGTCACAAGCAGAGCAGGAAATGAGTGCTCCGCTGCCTGAGATGTCACGCTGAACTCCTCAACCAAAGTCAGGAGTGAATCGGGTGTCAGATCATTTGCTTCAGCGTCATCCAGCAGCAATGCCAGAGACGAGTCCACTGCACTTTTCCATAATTTAAACATTTTGGGTCTCAATACTTCTCTTATCGCAACTTCATCTGTATCTGGAAAAAAAGTTGCCTTGTTATTTTGATTCAGGAAGTGCAACCAATAATATAAAATTAACTGGAGGTACTGGTCTTTTCCAAGTGACCAACAAAAAAGGGCAGCTATATTTTCCATGCAACACATCTGAGGCCCTGTTTGGTTGAGCTGTGGCTGTGGGAAAAAGCTGCTGTGGGCTGTGAGCTGTGGAAAAGCTGCTGTGAGCTGTGAGCTGTAGAAAAGCTGAAAGCTGTTTGGTTAAATAAGTATAAAATATACCTTTTATCTTTATCTCTCTTGAAACAACTATGGAAGAGCTTTTTATTCCATCAATTTCGAAAAGCAGAAAGCCAAAAGACAAAAGCAGGGTCAACCCAGCTTTCAAAAATGAACTACGGAAAAGCAGCTGCTTCTGAAAAAGCACCCTCCAAAAGCAGCCCCTTTGGTTGGGCTTTTGGCTTTTGGGGCCAAAAGCCAAAGCCAAAAGCCCAACCAAACAGGGCCTGAGTGTATGTTTGGGCAAAACACATGAATATAAGCATATGATAAATGAGTGCAGGAAGAGATTACAAAATGAGGAGCTCATAAAAACCTAATCACCAAAACTGCTATGATAAATAAAAATGAGCATGGATATTAAAGAAGCAAGACCAAGATAATCATTATAAGAGTTAAGAAAGCATACCTGAACTATTCATGTCAGATGACATTGCCACATTATTCTTTGGAACTTTCGGAATGAGAGTAAGAGGCTTCGAGTATCTGGATTTCCATTCTTTGCCTCTGTACATTAATATCTGTTCATTGTCAAATGATAAAAGAACACAGGGAACAAGATCCTGCATATATAGAAGTAAGCAATTTTAGCTGAGTGGGTCAGAAAGAAGGTATGTAAAGGATTCACTTCCACTACAAGTAATGAAATGAAAACTGCGAAATTCGTGAGGGCGAATAGAACCCTTAGTTTCGCTCCAATCTTTTTGTAGTCACTTGGATTCAAACCCTCACAGTCAATCTTCACCAGGTCATTTCCTTCAAAAGCATCTCGCACATCCTTGACAAGAGTGATGTATATTCCATTTTTGGCTAAAAGATAGAGGATAAAAGATACATCATCAGTCACATGTGTTGTTATCTGTACCTTAAATACAGAGTAAAAAGCAAGCAATCCTTCCAGTGAGCAGTTTTGACAATCAGTTTAGCACTATGGGCCTGATCGGATCAGCAGCAATGACTGAAGCTGCAGCTGCACACAGTGGTGCATAGGTGTACAGCTGCTGCTGCTGCAGCAGTCCTTTAGTAGAAGCAAACATGCATTAGTCAAATTTGAAGACTTATTGCCTCTCTAATGGTATTATTTTCACACGAATAATCTAAACAATAGAGCCAATATCACTGTTCAAAGTTAGGGAAGTTTAATAGTTCAAACTGGGTCATCTAATTCTAAAGTAGGGACTAGCATTTTTGGTCTGTAGGACTAGAGGCAGGTAGAAAAGAAAGCAATAACCAGTAGCCAGCAGCCACATCCCACATGTGCATGACATACATGGTACAAAATCTTGTAAGCATATACGCAACAAATTATAAAATCAGGGGCCCTGTTAAAGGCCTATCCTTGACAATTAGGTTTGTATTTACAGTACTAGGTTAGGCTTGAAATGTAATCTAGTACGTGGTGTGTAACAGGATTAAGGTTCCTGCTGTGAATAGGTCATTTCATAACTGCTTCAAATGTCAGAAATACAAAACTTGTAAACAAACAAATCAAATAAGAAGGCCATCTAGATTTGGAACATAGTTGAACAATGATCAATAAGAATAAAGGTTTTTTTGGCGAGGAATCAATAAGAATAGGAATAAAGTTGATCAGTAACTTAATACCTAATTTACAGATTGGCAGCAGATCACGCCCTTTCCTAATCATTTCATCTGCTTCTTCTTTTGTAAGCCCTTCTGGAGCTTCTTTGATGAGTTTTGGATATACAGGAGTTGCAGGTTTCCAGAGCATTAGTGGATAGCGAGGACGGGTCCTTGGATCATAATGTCTTCCTCTATATAGAAAAACAACGCCACCTACTCGGTGAATGACCTTTCCACCCGACTTTTCCTGGAACATAATAGATGTTATTATGTTTGACAATGCATTATAATAAAGTCAAGATGCTTGTATAGTTGTATTGAAAAAACACATAAGCATGCATACATGATGACTGAGGTCTTGTTCCATGAGAGGCCAACAAGTATACATCCCTAACAAGTGACAAGCTCTTCATAGTCCTTAACTCATACACTGGTCTGATCAAAATATTATTAGTTCATTAGTACACTGTTGTTTTCAAGATATCGGTATTGATACTATTGTCCTACTTTCTTAAATCCTTGCATTAAAAGAAAAGAATAATGTATGGTGTTCTATAAACAAGAGGCAATTGTTCCTTTCTATGATCCTAAAAGTTTCAAACAACTCTTATGAAAGTACTCTCCATTCCAAATTATAAGATGTTTTGACTTCTCTAGATACATAGGTTTTGCTATGTACTTAGATATACACACATAGTAAAAGCAATGTATTTAGAAAAGCTAAAACGTCTTATTATTTGGAACGGAGGGAGTGTCATTTAAGTTATCATGCAATTCAGAACAGAAATAAAAAGGAACATGATCTCACTCTTTTGAAATCTTTTCTTTTTGAAAAAAGGCACTTTTGTATACTGGATGCCACATTTTGTAGTACAGTAAAAAGATACAATTTTTAGAAAAAGAGATTCAACGGAGATCTTTGGCTTTGTACCACAGAATGCATGTCCAGATGCCTAGGGATATGTTAAAACATGTGAATGAGCACAATGCACATTAATATACAGTAGCAAACTAAGTATAGATACCTCAAGATGATAACAGAGATTCTTCATATCAACAGTTGGAACGCCACGGCATCTAACTTTGCAGATTTCCTGGCGCCTCCAATGACAATGTATCATTTCCAACATGTTGTGAGTCAAACCATCTCTTCCTACAGGAAATTGTTCAGGAAATTGATATTTAACTCTACACTGCATCAGTAATAAGATTTAGCTTTGCAACAAAAAGAAAAGAAGATAATAACTTTGCAACAAGCAGCAAAGAGGATTTGGAAGGTATCATATGAGGATGGGTTTACAAGCAGGAAAAAGTCTATCTGTAGTCCTTCGACTCTCTACAATACAGGGCCATACAACTCCAACTCTGAACACCAGTGAGGAGTGAGGACCCATCCCTCCCTACCAAGTTTGGCACACATACCACAACATGTTGGATCCAGATGAGATAAACTCTTACAGCCTAAATCAAGCAAGTAATAATGTGTTTGAATATCCACTTATCACATATGTACCATTTTCTCAACAAAAGCCAGCCTTACTGCTGGCAACCTCCTGCTTGAATGCAGTGGTGTTCTTGGGACCAGCAAACAAAAACACTGCTGATAGCAGGAGTGCCAGCTGATGGCAAAAACACAACAGCATATGATGTGACTTCAAGTTTTCCAGAGGAGTGACGATAATTAAAAGGACAAAATGCATACTTGCTACTGATTTAACTCCTATTTGAAATTTTCCATTAAAAAAACATATATTGGAAAACTACCACTGGAATCCCCTTCAGTTAGATTTCCGCTAGTTTAAATTCTATTAGATGATGTTATCCAATGGTGCAAAAATATTTCAGAAAATATGTACAGAAAATCATATCATGGAAATTAGCAAATTAACCCTTGGCGTATCCTTTCTGATGCTTCCTTTCTTTTGCGATAGCAGCCACTCTCATTGGCATCATCTGTGCTTTGCATGTTGGTCTCCATTGCCAGCCCCCTTTACGTGGTGCTGACCCCTGTGCTCCCCATCCCAGTGTCCCCACCTCTGGGGCGAGCTTGCTGCTGCTTGCATCTACTGCACTGCAGCCATCACGACACCATGGAGGACTGGAAGGAGGAGCAGCAGGATATGGTGAGGAGGTGCTGATGAGCTTGCATGGTGGACAGTGACTTGAGGACGAATAGAAGATCGTCAAGGAGGGTGGAGAGGATGGGGAGGCCAGCTAGGAGGACTGGGAGGCCACCCAATGCCGAAACTCCTCGGCCCTCCACTGCTGACGATCAAGAGCTAACCTGATCTGGCACAAGGCCCCCTCGCTGGTGCCCTCAGCCCCTGGCTACCTGCCCGTCCAACCCTACCTCCAGAAGTTGCAATGGTAACCATGGAGATGGAGCGAAAAGGAGGATCTTTGGACTGAAGAAATGGAAAACCATGAAGTGGTGCCATCAGTGTGCTGATGGGGAAGGGAGGAGAGAGAAAAATGGGGGCATTTTGTCTGATGACGACATTTCTTCAGTTTGATAATCCAGTGGTGGATTTGATGTTTGACCAACGCTTTTGGTGGCAACTATGCATTTATGACTTCTCAAATGGCAAGTTCATAAAAATGGTTCGAAGAGGTATGCAATTGGCCCACAATAAAACCCTGAGAAGAGTTGAAGGGCTGCAAATTGACTTGTTCTCGTTTCATGTATGAAAAAACATTGCTATCTTTTTGCCATTTCCTAACAATTGACTGAATTTGTAGGCAGATACCATGGTTGTGCCACAATCCACGTTTTTAACCTTATGCAATCGAAAAGGAACTTTGCATCAAACTTAGCTCCAGATGTGTTTGTTCTCATGCCACTGCATTATCTCATTATGCTCTCCACATTGGCCCATTTGAGTTTAATCTCAAGTCTGAACGAATATAGAGGCAGGAAAAAAATAATCAGATTCTCTCTGGAAAATGGCAGTGCAGTTGTTACCAATGTTGAGCTGCCGGTTGTGTGAAATGTGCGGCTTGACGAGCGCGCGCACCTCAGATGGGGTGAGCGGCTCACCGAGCACCTCCTCCCTGCTCCTGCCGTCACCGGGGCTCACCCTGGCCAGGTCCATTTGCCTCCTCTCCCTGACCTCCATCATGATCCCGTGCGCGCTCACCGTTTGCGGCGGCTCCTGCCCGAGCGGCGTGTGCAGCCGCACGCCCCGGCGGCGCGCCTTCTCTTCCTTGGTCAGCAGCGGCGCCTTGCCCGTCCAGGGCCGCGGCATGGTCGGCGGCGCGAAGGGCAGGAAGGCCGGCTCCCGGATGGCGAGCGGTGGGGCGCGGGGCCCCTCGGAGTAGCTGAACTGGAAGTCGAACGGCGCGCCGGGGAGGCGGAAGGAGAGGCCCGAGGGACCCACGACGACGGCGCGCCCCGAGGCGGCGTCGGTTGGGTCGGCGGCGAGGAGGGCCTCGCCTTCGCCGGCGGCTGCGGCTGGGGGCACGGGCTTGCGGTACGCGGTACGGAGGTGGGCCGCGCGGAAGGCCGGGTTGGTGCTGGCCGTTCTCCTTGGACCGCTGTCTGTCGGTTCTTCTTCTTGGGAAGGCTGCCGGGAGTGGTTCTTGGGGTCGCGGCGGCGAGGGGAGACGGGCGGGAGAGGCAGGGACCGTTGATGGGGGTAGCGGCGGTTGGAGAGGGGAGGCGGCGGGGCGGAGAAGAGGTTGGCGCGGCCAGCATGGGAGGGAACGGGACCCTGCGGCGGCGGTGGCGGCATGGCGGGAAGTGGTGGCTGGGATGAAATGGAGGAGGAAACAGATAACGATCTGCCACTAGAGCCATTTTGTGTTTATTTTTCTACGCGTTTTCATCCGGTGGCTTTCTCTGGTTTTCTAAAAGAGAACTGCTATATAACACACTTAAGTGTTCCTATGCCTCTTAACACTCAATTCCTCTTCCTCTTATTTTCTCTATCTCTAGTCTCACCCCCGGCGGATTTATAAGGAGCTCGGGGGAGGCCGGCAAGTAGTGAGGGCGGCGGGAGGGTGTCAGTTAAGGTTCCGGCAACGTAGGAGGTGGTCGAGCTAGGTCGGACAGGGGCGCACATGGCCATGTCGGCGGTTGGGGAGGGGGGGGAAGAAGGAGGACACCGTGGGCGTGATAGGGTCGAGAGGAGAAACAAGACATGAAGAACAAAAATCGAGTCTTCTCGAGCCTCAGAACACTCGAGTGTTCTACGGCACATATAGTTGACATTTGGTTTCAAGATAATTGCTACTATTTGCCATGTCCAAGAATGGGCTTCCTAGATTTGTCATTCTAAATATAAATTTCATAAATTGTGAGCCAAACCATGTGCTTTTCTTTTCTTTGCCATAATTATTTTTTCTCTCTCTTTTTCCTTTTTTGCCCTAAAATCAGTCACGCGAAAGAATCAAATTGCCCATGTGGCATATTGACGTACGTGCCTACCTAGGAATCATCCGTTCGCATAGCATTTCCTTTCCTCACCGCTGGTCCGTCTGATGTTTCGATTCACCGCTGGCCATCCGCCCAACATACAAAGAGATCGCCGGTCACGGCGGCCCATAGACGTTAGCCGTCGAGCTCGGCCCTACCTGTCCGATGGTTCCTTACTACCACACAGATGGTTCCCTGCTATTGCCTGACTACAAATTCTAGTTTGGTTTTAGTAATTGAGTGATAATTAGTGGACTAATGTTTTCAGTGGAAATGATTGATCTAGGTCCACTTGGAATTGAACAAGGTTAGGATACGGTGAAGATGAGGATCATAACCATACGAAGCAAGTGCTCATCCATGAAGAGAACAAAGAAATGGAAAGCAAGCTCGAAGGGAAAGATATATATATAGGGCTTTGCTTTTGTTGGCTGAGATGCAATAGTGCATGGACGGGTTTAGGATAGATAGTCATACTATTAAGAGAGGAACTCTAATGCGATTACCGTTAGCTAGTGTCACTAGGTGTTGTCTAAATGTACATGTGCATTAGACCTAGTAACATGGTGAGAAGCAAGTGAAAATGCTTTCAAAAATATTTTGAAAAAGCTAACTCAATGCTTAACTCGTGGTATTTAAGTTGGAACACATTTGAAGTTAGCAAATTTGAAAAACATTTGAGAGTGCGACTTAGTGCAGGGTTTCTGCACTCACTAAATATCTTCGATGCCCCTGAGGAGAAGTCACCGGAGAAAGTGGTTTAGCCCCCTATTTCTAATTGTTTTAGTTGTGTAGGAGCCACCGGATTTTATACGGTGTCTATAACTCCATAACGCCGGAGAATGTGGCCTTGAGGGGGTGACATGGCGGCCTCATGTTCAACGCACAAAAATTCAAAAGGAGCAGCGCTTTCTTCAGTGCTGGCGGCTGGAACCATTCGAACTTTCCTAATGGGGGCCTAGAGCTCTCTAGTTGGTGATCAAAGAGGTTCTAAAATCAACGGAATTATCTGATCATCTACACCTTTGCAGCACCGAAGAAAGGAGGATTTGACCTTTGTAATTTCCAATGGTCACCTGTTCTAGACAAATCCTTGGGAGGCCACCAGATTTCTCCGGTGGTGCCTCTACCCGAGTACCAGAGAAAGCACTCTCTAACAGCTAGATGAGATTTGATCTGGATTGTTGGATTTCATCAATCCTTTCTCTAGTGGGGTTTGTCCGGTGCCCACCCGACTTATCCGGTGAGTACATAGACAACCCACCAAGAGCTCCCAATGACTACTTTTGTGTAGGGGCTATAAATAGATGAGTTGCTCAACCTTTTAAGATTTCTTGGCTATTTCTACTAATCCATATAATCTTGAGCTCAAGCACACACTTCACCCGCTTGCATGCTTTGAGATTGATTTTGCGTGAGATCTGTAGAGTTCTAGTGTATTTCCTTAGTTGGATTGCATCTGGTGGCACTAGAGAAGCATGGTGGCAGTGGTTTTCTTGTTAGTCTTGGTGGTCGTTGCCACCTAGACAGCTTGGATTTGGTTGGATCATCAAGCACCTTGTGGTGATTGTTTGTGTGGCTCCGATCAAGTTGATTATAAGGGGTCTTGTGCTCACCTCGCGGGAGATCGATGAAAGCCCAGTTTGGTTTTGGATAATTGATGAATCCTAGTGGACTAACCCTTTGCTCTAAGTGATGAATGAGATAGGCTAGTTCACAACCAAGGTGGAGCTAGATGGCACTCATGTGATGGAGATGGCCAAAAGATAGTGATCAAGTGCTCCAACTTGGAAAAGAAGAAAGAGAAAAATAAATTGGGCTCAAGGCAAAGGTATAAGAGCTAGGGCCATTTTGTTTTACCTGTCAAGACGCAATAGAGTGCGTGATCAGGTTTAGAATAGATAGTCATACTATAAAGAGTGGAGAATTCATGGTTGATGCGGTTATCAAGTGCCACTAGGTGACCTAACTCATTGCATGTGCATTTGGAACCTAGTGAGCAAACTTACCCTTGAAAAATGCTTTTAAAAATGCTAACACACATGCACAAGTGTTTGGAACACTTTGGTGTTAGCACATGAGAGCAAGTTGAGATGGCAATGGGGAATTCCCCGTCGGGGAATGCCTCTCCATCCCCGTCCCCGCGGGGAGAAAAAATCCCCATCCCCATCCCTGCCAAAGCTCACGGGGACACTTTCTCCCCCATCCCCGTCCCCGCATGTGGAAAATTCCCCGTCGGGATCCCCATCTCCGCATAAGCATTAGTTTATCGCCATTCATGATCGGTCAATTCATCACCATTTACATAAGGTCATCAATACAACATTAGAGTACAGCACGGATCACAATCTAGAAATTGCTAAATAGCAAGAAGCAGAACATTAATGAGCATGAACGGCTCAATCTATTGTGTGGTCATAGAAGATCTTGAGAAGTGACGTGAAGGAAAAATCCATGGCGCTGGTGACAAGTAAGTCTTGATCTGAAACTCCAGTGCCTACCTGCTTCAAGAAACCACCGCTGGCCTAGGGGACCTGCACTGCACGCATTGCTGCCTGTAGGGTGCCGCGCGCTGTTGCCGTTAGGGAGCCACATGTGATGCTCCTTTGCTGTCGATGGGGAGCCAGACGCGGATGCGCCACCGCTGTAGTAGGGTCGCGCAGGTGCTCCCATGGGGTCACCTTGTGGACTGCAGTAGCACGCGGGGTGTGGTGCAGGCAGCATGCGGCTAAGCAATGTGGTGGCGGCGGGCGAGACAGGGAGAGGAGAGGATGAGGACTGGGGGGCAGTTAAGTTTTCTGCTGCTTATGTATGTATGTTCGACTTGGGCTTCGATGGGCCGAGTAAACAGGCTGTATAGGCTTTGAGAAACGGGGACGCGGGGAAATGGGGACGGGGGACAGTCTACCAGACCCGACCCCGTTAGACCCGATGGGGGAAGATTTCCTACCATTTAAATCCCCATGGGGGGTTAATTGATCCCATCCCTGTCCCCTAATAGGGAAATTCCCCACGGGGAATTGGGGATTGAGGCTCCATTGCCATCTTTAAGAGCAAGGGTGAAGAGATCGCGCTTGAAAAAGAGGTTTTAGGGGCGACGGACCAGTTCTCGTTTGGGTCAGACCAGTCCGACACCTCCCCTAACTAACCCTGGGCACAAAATACCGAGAACCGAACTGAAAATACCGAAACTGAATTTTTTGGTACCCTGTTCGGTTCATAATTCCTAGGAGGTAAATTCGGCACTTTACCTCGGGGAACCGAATTAATCGAACTATATAAAATGTGCTGAGTTTGAGTGTTGTTATATTATTGATAGCACTATTTTAGTCTATTATATTATGTACTCTACTCTTATAGTCTTGTGGATTTTTCTATGTATGTATTTGGCATTATTATTCTCTATGAAATCATGTCTAAATTATGTCAAAATTAGCTTTTGAACCTGCTATTACATGTCCATGCGATTAGTTCGGTATTTTTGGTAAATACCGCAACCGAATTTCCTCAGTACTGATTTATGGAACGATCCGAATTTCTCTGGAAACCAAAGTACCGAACCGATCGGTTCGGTAATACCAAATGCCCAGGCTGGCCAATGGATACAGAAAGCAAGGAAAACATGTCAGGCCGCTGCTAGCTCGGTCGGACTGAAGGGGTCAGACCAGTTTGACCTGTTCTTCTAGGTGTAGGCACACGGTCCGACTAGTTTGGAGCTTGGGTCGGACGGTATTGGATCACTGTTCAGTGGTCCGACACTTAGACCCTAGCGAGTGTGAGTGAGGCAGCGACGCGTGGCACGAGACGTGTGAGGGTCAGACCGCCTCTGGTCCTACAGGTGTGGGTTGGACCGGCTGAAAGCCCTAGTTTGGTTTTGGATAATTAATGAAACCTATTTGGACTAATCCTTTCATCTAAGTGTGTGACTGGATATGATAGTCTAATCCAAGTGGTGGAGCAAGATGAAGTCCATGGTGATGTTGGTGGACATGTGATGATGGTGATCAAGCTCCAGGACTTGGAAAAGAAGAAAGAGAAAAATAAAAAAGGGCTCAAGGCAAAGGTGATTTCAATATGGCCTTTTTGTTTTGGTGATCAAGACACTATAGAGAGTGTGATCACATTTAGGATAGATGGTCGTACTATTAAGAGGGGAGCTTTTATCGGACAACTCGATCATCTAGTGCCACTAGGTGTTGAAATACTTGCATTGCATTTTAGGCCTAGTGCACACTCGGTGAGAAAGTGATTAACCTTTGAAAAATATTTGTAAAAATTCTAACACACTTGCACATGATGGTGAAACACTTGGAGTGT